GCGGTTGAATAATTTCCACGGAAAGCCTTCGCGTCACGCAACAGATGTTGGTTTTGCGAACCTCTGCATGGAAATGTTGATGGTGGTAAGTGACAACGACAACACTATTTTAATTTATTTTCGGGATAGTAGCACAGTTTTTAGTTTGATAGAGCTATTGATATTTGCTCTCAAGCGAAAGCGCAGAATTTCTCATCTGTAGAAGCCGAAGTTGTAGCACACTGGAACTTGTAATAATATAAACCAACACGCAGCGTATGACTTTAAGATCTCCTAAAATGAGCAATGATGATGAAAAGCAATCAAATTATAAACTAATGAATGCTTTGTGCCCTACAAAAGCCATTTTTGCTGATTTTAGCAAATCTCCAAAGTAATAAACGACATAAGAAAGAAACGCTACGATTTTCCAATCAATTTTTCGCCAACATGCATCTCTCTAAATGTAAAATTTTCCATTCCTACGAAAAATTTCGAAAGTTTTTCACATTTTTTACCTTTCTTGATCAATCATCTTGTATGAAGAGCTAAAAAATTACAGGTTTATCTGGTCAATTGACCGCCTTGAGCCAGAATTGCGTGACAGATGTAATTGAGAGAAACTTGTTACAGTCGCAGATTTTAAAAGGCATCCAAGACAAAAATACGGTAGTGCCCAAAGATTTTTTTGATGGCTTTCAGAGATGAAATGATAAATTATACATGGTAATCAAGATCAGTGTTGTAGCTTTCTGGCAAGGGGAGATATTTGACCTTAAAGTTGTCAAATATTTGGATGAATCGAAAAGTCTAAAAACTCGGTCATTTATTTGCCTCTGTTGATTGACAAGCATAGTCGATCGTATTGAAATTTTTTTGAAGAATATTTTAATACTAAAGTAATGAGCTGCACTCTGTGAACAGTGGTTGTAAGACGTCTTTAACCTCCGACTCGTTTTGTGGACTTCTTCAGGGAGTTTTAAGAGCACGAACAGGCGAAGTTGCGAAAAATTGGAAACTTTTTTAGGCAGGGTGAGAAAAATATTTGGGTGCCACGACTTTAGCTAACACGGTGATACATACAACGGAAATCATTTTATTTGGGGGCGCCGGACAAATTTAATGGTCACGATGATGATATTTAACGTGTTACGGGTTACTCTTACAAGCA